GTTCTTTCCTCTTTAAGATCACCTTGTTCTGTGCTCCCTGAGGTTTATTAAAAATCCTAATTTACCAAACACCAAGGCGGGTGGCTCCCGGGCCCACCCTCCACTACTGAACTAGCAGCCGGCACATACTCAGCTTGGAATCTCCTTCCTTCAAGCCCTGGCCCCTAGGTCAGGAAACCCCGCGCTCGTGAGCCCGGTCCTGTGACCAGCCATCCGGCCTCTGCTCCCTGCTGCCCCCCAGTGGACCTCAGGTGACAAGACGCCACGTGCATGGGGCGTGTCCTCTGGTCTCATTCTCACGCTCCTGAAACCATTATTCAAGTTTTATTAGAGCTGCTTAAAGCGCCTGGGGCTTTGCCATGGCCTCTGAAAACCCAGAGTGAAACTAGTTACTCACTGAGAACCCTCAGTGGGTGGCTGCCTTCTCCCTAACATCACAGGCCTGGGCAGCTCTCTGAAGGGCATCCACAGCCACACAGGTGCGCAGACACACACACGCACACACACTCTCTCTCTCTCTCTCTCTCTCTCTCTCTCAGCCCCCGCAGACCCATCCACATTCACAGGGGACTCAGACAGGAAGGAAAGCCAGGGGAGGCTGGGCACAGTGGCTCACACCTGTAATCCCAGCACTTTGGGAGGCTGAGGTGGGAGGATTGCTTGAGGGCAGGAGTTTGAGATCAGCCTGAACAACATAGTGAGACCCCATCTCCAAAAAAATTAAAAAATTAGCCAGATGTGGTGGCACATGCCTGTAGTCCCAGCTACTCAGGAGGCTGAGGCAGGAGGATCACTTGAGCCCTGGAGTTTGAGGTGGCAGTGAGCTATGATGACACCACTGCATTCCAGCCTGGGTGACAGAGTGAGCATCTGTCTCCAAAAAAAAAAGAGTAAAGCCAGGGGAATTAATGCCATAGGCTGGGTTAGTTCTTCTCTAGAACAGCTTTAGAAACCTGGAATGTTTTTTAAAAGTAGAGGCATACTTTGCTCTATCACACCTTGCTTTATTGTACATCACAGATACTGCATTTTTTACAAACTGGAAGTTTGTGTCAACCCCAGAGTTGAGCAACTCTATAGGCACAATGTTCCCAACAGTATGTGCTCACTTTGTGTCTCTGTCACAGTTTGGTAATTCTGCACTATTTCAACCTTTTTGTTATTCTTGCATCTGTCACAGGGATGGTCCTTCCAGACATCCCTGCGGGCTCTGCTCACTCGGCGCCTGCCCCAGTGAAGCGGTGGGGACTCTCCCGCGGGAGTCTGGGGTGGCAGGTGGGGCAGAGCAGTTTGTAAATGTTTATGAGAAGAGTCCTCCTTGGCAACCCACTCTTTGTCTTCACTCTCATGGAAACGAGATTTGACCTCTCCTAATTACCTGATGCCAGAGGAACAGGTAGGAGCCTGTCCCAAGGCTGAGTGGCCTCAAAGATGGGTTCCCAGACAGCTTAGTGCTCCGGTTATCTGTGAGTCATTGAATCATTTCACCCATTTCTTTTTTCTTTTTTTGAGACAGAGTCTCGCTCTGTCACCGCAGCTAAAGTGCTGTGGCATCATCGTAACTCAACCTCAAACTCCTGGGCTCAAGCGATCCGCCCGCCTCAGCCTCCCAGAGTGCTAGGATTACAGGTGTGAGCCACCGCGCCCGGCCTCACCCTCCAGTTTTATGGGAGAGAGATCTGGGGGCCTTTTCTCCAGCTAACCAGATAGGCGGTTAGATTCAGTCATCGAACCACCTCAGAACAGGCATCCCAGGAACTGGCCACTGGGCAAGACGTGAGACTTGTTAAGGGTCATAAAATGTCCCTGTGATTGAAGCAGTCTCCCTCCCACACAGAGAAAGCCTACTGCCCTGCGCTCACCTTTGACCAGCAGACAGGGCTCTGGGGACACCCGAGGAGCTGCCAGGAGGAGGCGCCTGCAGGTGCCTTGTGGAGGAGGATGTTTTTGGCGTCCCTGTTTCACAAGCCCAGCTTGGAGCACCAGCGGAGAACTAGGCAGCTCTTGCATATTCCTGCCTAGAAACTCTGGCTTCTCGCCTGGGGCCCAGAATCTCACCCGCCTAGGAACGTCCCAGCCCCCTGCCAGGGCCAGCTGGCCTCCCGACTCAGGTTCCCCAGAGTGCCTGACCCCGTGAGTCACTGGCCCATCCACAGGCACCCTCCCTGACCGCTTGCATTGTAGTTGGACCGGAGCCAGGTCATTGCAAGTCACAGAACTGGGGACCGAGGTGCACACTCAGAAGCAAGGAGTGGCAGACATGGCTAAAAGGAGGCGACGGACGCTGGTTGTTGGTTCTCACAGTGTTTAAACCCGTACTGAGAGTTCTTATGTTTGGGGTCAAGGAGCGTGTCGTATGCGTGCCTGATGTGGAGCCCCAGAGCCAAGGAGGAACCTGGAAGTCTCGGGTGGGCTTGGGCTGCGGGTTTCCTGCCCCCACTCTATACTTAATCCCGGCAGCTCAGGAAGGCAGTGCCAGCAAGCACTTGCTCCCAGGAATAGACAAAAGTAAGAGGAAACTGTCCTCCCTCCACTCCACACCCTCCCCAACATTTGTCTTTGAGGAATAAATACCCAAAAGTGATCCCAGGGGCTTTGGGGTGGGAGTTAAGGCAGCAGCCAGACTGTCCAGGGTGCAGTGCCGTGCAGTGGAATCATAGCCCCTGCCCATTGGTCCCCCATGTTCATTGAGCACCCACTGTGCACCCAGTGCCTTGGGGATATACAGGCACACCAGCCCCCGCCCTGCCCTCCAGGAGCTTACAGTCTAGCCAGCCGGGCCCTAAGCGGTGGGAAGACAGCACAGCCTTGCTGGGGGCCTCACCCTGTTGTCTTAACATTGAATTTTCAATCATGCCCAGAGCTTCCCCCATATCCTGCCACCCAACCAGGGCCAAGGTCATCATGGGCACAGTCTGATTTAGTGATCATTCCCTCCCCCCATCAGTTCTGTCTTCTTGCCCCTAGAGCCCTGGTCCCTAGCACAGGTTGGTCCGGGAACCGGGGAGGTGGGGGGGGGGATCCCATCCTTCTGGCAAATGCGCAGCAAACCTCTGTGAGACGATGGGAGTGTGCCTGGCCGCAGGTGCTCCCACCTTCTCTTGGGCACCCACTACTGGGATCGGCAGGCCCCTCCCCAAGTCCTCGCAGGCCGTCTGTGCTTCCACGGACAAGAAAGAAAAGTCTTAAGAATAAGTTGTTTCCTGTTACCAGTCCTGGGCAGTAGTTGCAAGAGAAAATGAGGAAAAGTGTTTCCTGTTCCTTAACCTGCTGCCACTCCTTGAATCCCTGCTGTTCCATGGGATGGCCCCTGCTCACCCCACATTGGCACTGTCTCTGTGCTGGGGTCAGACACTCCAAAGCCACAAGCGTCCTTGAGGCCACAGGCAGCCTCATTCTTGCTCCACCCCTTCCTCACACTGCAAGACCACCTGGTCTGGTGTTAAGTTAACACTTAAAGAAACAGATCCCTTCCCGAGACCACTTAACGAAGCCCTCACACCCAGCAGCGCAGATCCCGGGATGTACGCTGCCCTATAATTGGAGGCCTTGGGCAGAAGAGCCTGCGCAGGTGGTGGCATTGGCTCCCAAGCCCTCATGTCCCTTTGCCCTGCTCTGGTGAGCTGCAGAGCCTTGGGAGTGAACAAAGCCCCTCTGGGCATTGCTGCTGTGTGTCCAGAGGTTCCCATGCCAAGCCAGACAGGAGGTAGGCCCAAGCAGGGCTGGGAAGACAGTGGCCAGTTGGAGCAGATGGCTGCACCTGGCCCAGGTGAGCTTCTGGTTGAGGCCTTGGTCTGGTGCCAACACTGGGGCAGGTGTGTCGTGCCCAGGCAGCTCTGATTGGCCCAGTTCCACAACCATCTCCACCAGCGTGGAGGGGCTGCTTCTCATCCTGCAGACATTCGCCCCTTCTCCTCTGGCCAGACAACCCCAAGTTGGGGGTGAGGCAGGGCCACTTCCCTATTTCCTGGAACTGAGCCCGGGAAGCTGTCAGTCTGCCACTCTGGTCACAAACATCCAGGATCCCACCAGGCCGTGGGTCCTGGGCTGGTCCCTTGTGGGAATGGCGGCCATCACCAAGAGCGTCAGCCTGCGCAGCGCTCCAGGTCCCTCGCAGCCAGCAGGGTCGGTGGACCGGCCAGGCGGCTACCACGGCCGCCAGAGCCCCGGGCCGCACGGAGGCGCGGGCGGCGAGGGCGCGGGTGGGGGCGTGGGTGGCCGAGCAGGCGAGGGCGGGCCCCCGGAGTGCCCTGCGCGCCCGCAGTCGGGGGTGGCGCCCCCAGCTCTCCGTCGCAGGTGCTCCAGCAGGCGCACACTCACGGCGGGCTCTAGGACGCGGCAGGCGGGCAGCACGCAAGCCAGGCTCGCCACGCAGGCGCTGTAGCCGTCGCGGTAGCTGTCGGAGGGCACTGCGGGCGGGCGGAGAGCGGCGTGAGGCTCCCGGGCGGGGTGCGGGATGCGGGATGCGGGGGGCAGGGCGGGGCGGGCTCACTTACCGGGCGCTGCCGCGGGGCAGGAAAACGCAGGGAGCTCCTGCAGGAAGCGCACGGTCATTTCCAGGATGTCCGCCTTCTCCAGCTTGGAGTAGCGGGAGTTCTGCGCCCGGCCACGAGAGACAGGGACAGAGGCCGACAAGCAAGACAGGTCTCTGGCAGGCTGCCCTGAGCACCGCGCTCGGGCCGGCGCTGGGTGCCGGGCGCGCCGTGGCCTGCGGTGGGGCGGCTCCTCCACGCCCGCCCCGGGCCGGGTTCCCGGCTCCCGCCAGAGCGCACCCCCACGGCTTCTTCAGCGCACACCGCCCGCCCGCCCCGCCGCGCGCCGCAGGACCCTCCGCACGCAGCGCCCAGTACTCACCTCCCTGCCCAGCAGCGGCAAGATGAGCCCCTTGAGCTGGCTGAGGCTCTCGTTGATGCGCGCACGTCGGCGCTTCTCCAGAAGCGGCTTCAGGGTCTGCGGGACGCCGGATGCACAGGCAGTGTTAGGCCGTGCGGTCCCCGCCTGCCCCTCCCGCCTCATGCCCCAGTCCCGGCTCCTACCTTGCGCAGCTCTGCGGCGTCCCCCGCCCGGCGAGGCAGCCCCATGCTCGGTGGGAGAGCGGCGACACCTGCGGTCCCCGCGCGGTGGGCGTCCGAGGCCGGGAGGAAGGTAGCTGGGCGGCCGGAGCTGGTGTCAGAAGAGTGAGCGCCGCGCCCAAAGCCCGGCTTTAAGCGAGCGGCGTCGCCCGCCCCGCCCCGCGGAGTCGGGCCGCCCGCGGTCCCACCTCCCGCCTTTGTTCATGCGCAGGGTGTAGCCTGGAGGGGCGACGGCGGCGCCCCCGGGAATCCCGCTCCAGGCCTTTGCGTCCCATCTGCGACGGGTGGCGGGCCCTGGGCGCTCCCAGAGCACCCGCGGGGGGTGGTGTGGGTGCCGTCGGGGACCACCGCTGCCTGACCCCGGCGGCAGGAGGAGCGGGTGGGGCCGGGCCTTGCCTGACACAGGCTGCGGTCCCTCCTCCCCAACGCCGCCCCTCATTCAGTCCCCAAGTTCGGGCTCAGCGCCTCCTTGAAGCGCCGCCCTGGGCCCAGGCAGGGGACCCAGCAGTGGCAGGACTGCCAAGGCCTGCGCCTCTGGGAGCTCCCACGAGGCTTAATAGAGGGAGGGACTTGCACCACCGGCTGCTCTGTCGCCTGATGCGCTGAGCTGGAGCGGGAAACCGAGGCCGGGAGAGAGGTCGCGACCTGCTCCACCCTTCACTGCTTGGGAAGTGGCCGAGCCCTGGCTGTAAGGACTCTGCAGAACACCGCAGCAGCTCAAGTTAGGGGTCACCTCTCGGTTTTGGATGGGAAAACTGAGCCCCAGAGAAGCTGCGGCAACTTCGGAGCTTATTTAAGAGCCTTCGGAGCTTATTTTCATTTGAGCCTGCTCCGGGTTCGGGGTCCCCACCCGCAGGGCAGTCAGATCACGTGGCGGGTGGGCGGGCGGTCCTGGGTGCGAGCTCCCCAGCGGCCCGTCCGGCTGCTTCCGCGCCGCGTGGCCGTTGCTGCGGCAAACTGGCTGGCGTCCCCCGCCCATCTGCTCCGGGCTTCCCTCCCCCGACCGGCTGGCGGGGCAACGGCCACCCCCGCAGACCACACCATGAACTGCCCGGCAGACCGTCGGACAGAGGACTGGCGGGACCCACAGAGCCGGGCCACGAGGAGGCCCAGTGGGGCGGAGCCAAAGCGGGCTCTGTCCAAGGTGCTGGATGAACACCCCCACCCCCACCCCCCCGACGCCCAAACCCCACCTCCGAGCCTCCCTGCCCCCACCAGCTCCAAGTCGCCCTCCTGCAGAGCCCCCCCCCCCCCCAGCAGAGCCAGGGAACACCAGCCTACCTATCAGTAAGGGAGCTGGAAGCTGCCTGGGCTAGGGGAGCTCGGGCCACCCATATCTGACAGTGGCATTCGAAAGACTGCAGGTCTCCTTATATGGAACACTCTCTGTGTGCCAAGCTCCAGGCCAAGTGCTTTATGGTCCTCACCTCCATTAATGCTCACAGCAGTCCTAATAAATGAGAATAAATCATTCAACATATTTGGCCCAGAAGAGCTTGGGGGTACCCGAGCCCCTGCCCCATCCCGTGGTTGAGTCCAGCGTGCCTATGGACCAGCCTCCTCCAAGTTAATTAATTGTTCTTTAAGAGCTCAAAAAAGGACTTTGTGGATCCTTCCCCACCCCACCCAGGCCACATAGACTGGCTCACTCAGTTCTGTGCCCACAAGCCCACCCTGCACCATCTGCATCCTTGGGGAGAGACCCTGATACTAGCTCCTGCAGGGAAGGGGCTGGAGGGAGAGGTTTCTCCTAGAATCTCCCCCTCCAGGCCTGTGGACAACCATTGGAAGACTGAATGGCAGAGAAGTAAACTCCCTTTTCAATGCCACTTACCCCCAATTTTAGAAGTCTCTTCCTCTGCTCTCCCATTGCTGTAAAGGACTTTAACCAAGTAACCCACAGTTCCCCCTAGCCGAAGATTCCGGGGTTTTGCTGGTTACTTGGAAAAAGAAATTGTCAAGACTTGGGGAAACTTAGGTAAGACGGCTGGTGGGTGAGTGTTGGGTGTAGGCTTTTGGGCAGCTGGGGCCACCAAGCGTACAGTGGGGACACATTCCACCCCTGGTCCCTGCCGTGGGAAGTGTATTGGCCCTTGGGTGGGGCAGAAGCATGGGGTGGGCTGGGGTGAGCCCAGCAGAGGGGTGAAAGGAGGCCTCCTGGGGAGGGAACCCCTAAGCTGACATCTGGAAGGTGGGAGACAGAAGAGGGGCTCTGGGCAGAGGGAACCTCAAGGGCAGAGGGGAAAAGAGCACAGGAGGGCCAGAGAGTGAGCCTTGCCACTTCCCATTTGTGTCACCTCAAGATAATTTAAAAAACAAACAAAAACTTCCCATGCCTCAGTTTCCACAGCTGTAAAATGGGGATAATGGTTGTACCTCTCTCATAGCATCCTTGTGGGGATTAAATATCCAGGTGAAGCTTGGCACGTCCTGCTAAGTGGTAGGTTCCATGAACACGTTGCTGCTGCCCTGGGCTCTCCAGGGCTGCTAGGAAGGACCCAGTGGGCCTGGTGGACGTGGGAGACCCCATAGAGGACACAGGGGCCTGGCAGGGAGGGCCTGGCTTGAAGCCTGAGTTTTAGTCATGTTCTGAAAGGATTTGGAGGGGTTGGTCAGCAGGGGTGGGTGTTCACACCTGGCTTTCATGGAGATGTCCCTGGCGGCAGTGGCAGGGGCTCAGGGACACCTGCCTTGCCCGCCGGGTGAGCAGCTGTGCATCACCTGGCCCTAGCCCCCAAAATGACACACCCATATGATAGATGAGGGTGCCTCAGGGCCAGGGGAGCCACCTTGGGGATGGGGGATATGAACTGTGGGGAATTTTTAGTAATGGAGGAGGTACAGGGGAAGGAAACCCAAGACAATCCATTTTAGTTGCTCCTCCAGGCAGTACGCCTGCCACTTGCCGGCCTCGGGGTGCACCCGCCTTTGGGTAGGCTGGCAGAGGGCAGCTCCAGCGAGCAGCAAGCGTTGCTCTGGCCACGGCCAGGCTGCCAGGAACAGACTCCTCCCTCCCCTTGTCAGCGAATCGCTGCGTAGGGGGTCTCACATCCCAGCGGCCACGGGTCCCGCCGAGAGCGAGGCAGATCTGGCCGGCTTGGAGGTCGTTGGAAACCCACCTGGCCCCGCAGGACACGGCGGCTCGGGTTACGGGGCACCTGCGAGCGCGGGAGGCCACCACCAGGCAGGGCGCCACCAGGTGGCAGCCCCGGGAACGGCATCCGAGGCCGTCCCGGAGCCCAGCGCCGCGGCTCCGCGTTCCTGGAACCGGCTTCATTCTACAGCGCTTCCCGCGCCGGCCGTGCAGGGCCCGGCAAGGGCGGGGGTGAAACGTTCATCGCGGGGCGGGCCCGGGCTCTCACGGGGCTCCAGTGGGGCGGGGCCGTGGCAAAGGAAGGGCGCAGGCTGTTTCAAGGTCGCGCGTTAGGCTGATGCGCTCCCGCAGCTACGCAGCCCCCAGCTCCGGCGGTTCTTCTCACGTCCCGCCGGCCTCGCCGCCTCCGGCTCCCACGACTGGTTTCGGCCGCGCCCGCAGGGAGGTTTGGCCACGTGCGCTGGCCCCAGCCCCTGCGGCGCTTTCCTGCGGCCTTGCCTGGGTCGTGACGGCCTCTCTCTGGACGGCGGCGCTGGGCGTCTCCCCACAGGCTCCCTCCTCGCACCCCTGCTGTCTCCCCTACTGCCTTGGCAGCCTCAGGCCCTCCAGCCGGTGGTCGACTCCCCCACCCCGACAGGGCCATTGGACTCCCTGGCGCCTAGACCCAGAGTTCTGAGCGCGCCAGGCGTTCCTGTCCTCTCCTCCTTCCCGCCTTCCCCCGTCCCTCCCCGAGGCTCAGAGGACAGTTCTGGGGTCTGCAGGGACCTTGCGGGGCTGACGGCCTGGCACCCTTCGCACTCTCCCGGGCTTAGACCCAGATCTCCTCAGGGCCTTGATGTTCCTGGAATCCCCCTCTCGACACTCAAAACGCAGCCCCGACGTCGGCTCCAATAGACCTTCCCTGACTGCCCACGATCCCCGATAAATCACGCCCTAGCACCCCGTTTTCCTGTTGTGATAACACTTGTCACCCTCTGGAATGGAGACAATTGTTTGCTGGCTGTGTCCCCAGCGCCTGTAACAGCACAGAGTGGGCGCTCAGGTCAAGGAACTTGTGCCTGGACGGCTCTTGAATTCTAACCCAGTTTTGCCGCACTCTGGAGTCTCAATTTTTACGTGAGGCAAATTAGGAGAGAAGCCCCTGGGCACACCTGCCCCTGTCACCCGAGTGTCCCCGCGGCAAGGCGGGGACAGGCCCGGGACTCGCCCGAGGGGGCGGGGCAGGGGCGGGCCCGAGGCTTAAGCCGGCGCCCGCGGGTGCCCGCCCCAGAGCGCGGCGGAGCGCAGGGCAGCGCGGAGCAGAGGCTGGGCCAGCAGCCGCTCTGCTTCCCCGGACCGGCGCGCCGCGGGGCCCTCTGGCCCCCGACGACATGCGCATGGCGTCCCGGGGAACACGCTGAGCGCGGGGCCGCGGCGCCGCGGGCGGCACCATGGCCCTAGAGCAGGCGCTGCAGGCGGCGCGGCAGGGCGAGCTGGACGTGCTGAGGTCCCTTCACGCCGCCGGCCTACTGGGGCCCTCGCTGCGGGACCCGCTGGACGCGCTGCCGGTGCACCACGCGGCCCGCGCCGGCAAGCTGCACTGTCTGCGCTTCCTGGTGGAGGAGGCGGCCCTGCCCGCAACGGCCCGCGCGCGCAATGGTGCCACGCCGGCCCACGACGCCGCCGCCACTGGCCACCTCGCCTGCCTGCAGTGGCTGCTCTTGCAGGGCGGCTGCGGAGTGCAGGTGGGTTCGCGCTGCTCCTCGGTGGTCCAGAGGGTAGGTGGGGTTGGGCACCTGCTGACCCAGCTGAGCCCTGCATGGAGTTTCTTCCAGAGGGCTTTGGGTGGGGTGGGCTCCCTGGATTGAGACTACCTGGGCAGATGTCTTGGCAAGACCCTGGCTGCTCCCGGGAAAAGTTCCTGGGTGATGGGGAGCCAGGAGGGAGCTGGGCTCCAGCACCGCTGGTATATACCGGGAGAGGCCTGAGCTCTGATCGCCAGAGTCCTAGAGAGTGGGTGGGGTGGGAAAGGCCTGGGCAGCAGGGAGTTAGAGGTCCATGTCCTGCAGGATCAGGTCTTGAGGGAGGCTGGGCAGCCCACCCCAGGCTGAGCTACAAGTGTCCCCAAGCCAGAGTAGGAGAGGGGTGGTGGACCATGGTAACTGGGCCTCTCCCTAGGACCTAAGCTGACCCCGGGACATCAACACCTTCCGGGCTCCCAGCTCTAAGTTGCTTCTTCAGCTTGGCCTGAGTCTTCCTGCCCCCAGACCCCACCTGGGCACTCTGAGAGGAGTCCAGGCTGGTGAGAAGGTAGCCAGATGACAATCAGAGAGTTCCAAGCAGGAGGAACAAGAAGTGCAAAGCCCCAAGGCATGCACATTCTTGTGCTGTGGGAGGAACAGCCAGGAGGAAGCATGTTCAGAGTGGCCACCAGAGCCAGGCTCCAGGGTCTCATAGGCTGAGATTAGGGATTTGGAATATATTCGGGTGTAGGGGCAGCCAACAGAGGAGGCACCGGAGTTGATTTTCCGCTTGGAAAGACCACAGGGTTCACTGGAGCTGGAAGGGGAGGAGGCAAGGGCAGCTCTAAACTGGCTTGTGTGCCCTGAAGATGGCCAGCCCCAGCCCCCCTCTGCCCTCAGAGGGCAGCCTCTTTCCCACCCTTCCTGGGAGACGGCCCACCTTATCTCTCAGTGGGCCCTGTTATGAGGGGTTCCGGGCCACATGGCCCATGCCCACTCTTTTGGGAGGTGGTGTGCCTCCCTGATCTGCTTCAGCCCTGGCCAGAAGCCTCCCACTCCTCCCTGATCCCAGTGTCCAGCCTTGGCCGGAAGCCTCCCTTGCCACTGCGGAGGAGCTGGACGAAGCAGGTGGCCTTGGGCTCAGCTTATCAAGTCTCCTGCCCCAGCAGGCTTGGGTGCTGGGGGCGGAAGTGGGGGGGATGACCTGGATCCCTGGGCCTGCCCAGCCCAGAAAGATAAGCAGCTTTAGGGTGCGGTCTGCAGCACGTGAGGCTCCTCGGGGCTACACAGCTGTTGGTGCCTCAGGGACAGGCTGTAGGCCATAGGCCTGTGGCCTCTCCTTACTGCCTCTGCCACCTAGAGGCCCAGAGCCATGGGGACCCCTTGGCGTATCAGACCTACAGTCCCCAAGGCCAGTGGGAAAGGAGGCCTTTCTCAAGAGCTGGGACTTGGGACATACTTCACCATGGTCCTGCTCTGGTCACCTCTAGCCAGCCCATGCCCTGGGCTCAGGGCACAGACTGAACCAGTCCCTGGGCCTTCCAGCACACACGAGGGGCCTCAGCATTGTCCTCGGCTTCCTGTGGGCGGTTTACTCTCTGCTCCATCTTCCCTCCTGCCTTAGCGGGGCGGCCAGTCTGCCTGCCGCTCCCACCCCAGTAGCCTGCCTGGTGACTTGCCAGTCAGGCCGCAGCCCTGGTCCCACTGTGCCCTCCCTTCCTTGCACTTCTCAGAGGAGCCTCGGAGGTTCTCTTCCCACCGAGATCTGAGATTCACCTTCCTCAAGCCCAGGGTCTCGCGCCAGTTTCTGCTGCCTCAGCCACGTCTGTCCCCACAGTGCCCTCTCTGAGCGAGGTGGGGCAGAGAGGCTTTGCTTCCCAGGTCCCCCTCATCCTGCAGCCCCAACCCTGGCCCTCGTCTCTGCTCTGCTCCCTGACCACCTCTGCGTTGTCATTCCACGTACTTGGCGAGAGGTTGTTCTGTTCCAGAACCAGGGTCTACTCTGCCAAATGCGCCAGCCTCTGGGTCCAGACATCTGGCTTCTCGGTGATTCTCCTCCCCTTCCAGGTCCCACAAGCAGCCCCCGCCAGCCCCTTCCCCACAAACACACACAACTGGGTGTGCACAGATGACACATTCAGCAGTTCTGGGCCCAGACCTCCGGCCCCGCCTGCTCTGGGGTACAGAGAGGTCTCGCCCACACCCCTCCCAGGGGCTACCATTCGCCCACGCTTACCACCACTGGCTGCCTGCCCCGGGCCCTGCCCGCCAGTGCCCAGAAACTTCCTCCTCCACAAGGTCAAGAACACAGGCTGTTCCTGTGGATGGGAGTTTTCCACACTAAGGTTGGGTTGTTGGAGGTGCACCAAGGTGGAGGCCTCTGTTCCCACATGATACCTGGGAAGGGGAGAGAGGGAAGGGGAAAGGGTCCGACACAGGGTTGACCCCACAGTCCCGATGCTGGCCTGGTGTAGCCCCGCAGCCCCCCACCTGGCCCTGCTCAGTCCAGCAACTCTCCCTCATTCATTCAGGTGTTCTCTGAGCCCCTGGGCTTCAGGGGCTGAGGCCCTGGGCCTGGAACCAGGCTCCTGCCGTGATGACATGGGTGCCTACTGTGTGCGGGCCTCTGAAAGCCCGGCATGGCGGTGCTGCTTATGGACTGATGTCAAAGCGGGCCGATTAGCTGCCCAAGGACAGAAGCAGGATCCAAACTCCAGGATCAGCTTGACTCCAAAAAACATTGCTGAGCGAGGCCTGGCCACCCCCTCAAGGGAGGACAGAGAGGACAGAACTGCCCCGGGGCGGGGAGGTGGTGGCGCTGGGACAGGTCTGAGCCAGAGGCTGGGGCAGGTCATGGCTTCAGACTTTAACTGGCTCTCCTCCCACAGGACAAAGACAATTCTGGTGCCACAGTCCTGCATCTGGCTGCCCGCTTCGGCCACCCTGAGGTGGTGAACTGGCTGCTGCGTCATGGCGGTGGGGACCCCACCATGGCCACAGACATGGGTGCCCTGCCTGTCCACTATGCTGCCGCCAAAGGAGACTTCCCCTCCCTGAGGCTTCTGGCCGGACACTACCCTGAGTAAGAACACCCCTCCTAAGCGGGCCTGGCGGTGCGGGCCAGGGCTCAGGGGATGCCTGGGGCCTCTCCCACATGCCAGGGGAGGGATCCCTGGTGGCCAGGGGACCAGGCCAGAGAGGCAGCTCCTACCCAAGCTGAAATTTCTCCCCTCCTGGCAACCCCCTCAGGGGCTGCCCAGAGCCACTTGCCCCAGAGCCCTGCACACACGTGCTCCCTGAATCTTTGGCAGCCCGGCCCCAGGTCACCTGCTCCCCTCTGTGCGCTCCCCCAGCAGCCTGCAGCAGGTGGCTGTCTCTAGCTCTGGCCTGTGCTCATTTGCAAGACTGTTCTAAACGGGGCGTGGGTAGGGGCGAGGGGATGGCACCTCCTAGACCCTAGTCAGGCAGGTGGGAGAGGAGCTGTGTCAGTCACCAGGCAGCTAAAGGAGGGAACCAGGTCTTAGCTGCACCTGGCGGAGGGAGCGGTCCCAGAGGAAAGCCACCCAGATCCCCTCTGATGGAGTGGGACACTAGTGGCCACGGGGACCTGAGCAGGGTGACCCTTGTCAGTCGGAGTGGGAGCCCGGGACATAAATCTCAGGAGGGGAGCAGCCACGAGGGAAAGGGCCGGCCTGTTTTCACTCCTGGTCCATTCCTGAGGGCACCTGCAGGGCCACCGGCCACCAGGGAGCAGGCTGGAGGCCAGTCCGCCCACATGGCCATGTGGCAAGGTGGTTGCAGCATAGCATCTTGGCCCGGGCACACTGGCGTGGGTGTAGGATGCCCCTAAGACCCACCAGGCCGGGCTCCAGTTGTCTTCTCATCCCAGGACAGGCAAGCAGAGCCTGGTTCTGTCCTTGCTAAGAAGCGGCTCGCCGGTCTGGCCAGAGGGAGACCCAGCAGGTCTCCCCGGGTGCTGTGCTCTACACAGCCGGCCCAGCTGGGCCCACATGGCCGCTTTGATGTGAATTCTCTGCTTCTGGACAAGCTGGGGTTTGGGTCGTGTCAAAGCCAGTGGAACTCAGAGTAGGAGGGCCCTGGAGACCCTTGAGTGTAGATAGGTCTTCACGTGGCACCGTCAGCCCCCGCGGGAGGCTTTGTCCCAGACCAGAGTGGCCTCTGCAGCTGGGAGCCCCGTAGCGGTGATGCTGATGCTTCTGCTCCCCAGCCTGTCACTTCTGGCAGAGGACACTTAGAGGGGATGCACAGGTCCCAAGAGGGGAGGGCGCCCCAGAAGGCCAGGCTGATGGCAGGGCCAATGTGTTAACTAGAAGGCTCTGAGCCAGCCCCCTGTAAGTGCTGAGGGGGACGCCAGCCCCTGAGCCCTCCTCACCCGCAAGCTGGGGCCTTAGCGAGCTGTGATCCCTCCATGGGCTGGAGTCCCAGGCCCTAGGAAGACTGGCAGCGCCGTGGAGCACCCTCACGGGCTCTGGGCTGGGGACCCTGACCCCCTCCAGACTATGCCAGGTGCAGGGCATGATTGGGCCCTGGTGCCAACCTGGTGTCCAGATGGCCTGGACTGATGAGTCACCAGCCCCCTAGGGGTCACCGTGAATCTCAGAGAGGTAGACATAGGGCTTGGGCTCTGTTCCCTGTGGTGGCCTGTGACTTGGCTGATAAGGAAGCGCCTTTGTGTGGCTGCCAGGCCAGGCTCCAGCAGGAGGGGATGGCCAGTAATTGGGGGTGGGGGTGGGGGTGCCCACTTAGTCTCCTTCCTTGGAGGTGGAGACTTCAGCTCCCCAAGGCTGTGGACACTGCGGCTGAGAGCCAGGCAGGCCAGAGGCTTGGGCTGCCCTTGGCCATAGGGCCCCCCCAGAGGACCCAGGTGGCCCATCTCCCGAGACTCTAGCTGGTGCTCGAAGCCTCCTGGCCTGCTGTGAATCATGTGAATTATTCACAAGGCTCTGAGCTCTCCCTGGGGGTAGGTGAGCTGCCCGGGAGGAAGGGCTCCCATACCTACTGGTGGGGAAACTCGATCTCACCCAGGGAGGCTGTGGGCAGCCACGGGCAGTGCAAGTGACAAGCTTCAGAGGAGCCGGAAGGCTGGACAGCCTCGGGGGAGGGCCCAGCTGGTGCCAGGGCTACACCTTGGGGTGTCAGGAAGGGCTTGAGATTGTAGGAACACCCTGCGCCCACCCCTGCTCTCCATCCTGGTTCACTGGGCCAAATCTTCCCAGAAGCAGAGGACTTGCCACAATGACCTTAGGGCTGCTGCGCTAGTGGGGACCCTCTTTCTGAGCCCCCTATAGAAGGTTGGGAGGCACGGGGGCTGGCAGGGGCTGGGCTGGGCTGACACAGGCCGTGGTCTGCGGGAGCTGCAGTCAGGAGGGCTGGCCTTCCTGGGCGGAGCTCCGGTGGCTGGTGGACGGAACCAGGTGTCCAGATGCACGGCTGGGGCAGACCGAGACAGGGTGAGGAGCAGGTAGCCCTCAAAGCCCCTGGTCACCCTCCAGCAGGGTCCTGGGGCCCAGAAGCCACCTCCTGCTCACTCTGCCCCGCCCACTGTGTCTGCTGTGGTTGCCCTGGCTGGGGGAGCCCGGGCACAGCAGGGACCTTGAGGCCTGAGTGTCCAGGCAGGAGAGCCAGAGGCTCCAGGAGCTTCCCCTTGGGCTCCTGGCCCCTGCCGGTCTTAGCAAGTGGGAAAACCAGTTGACCCGAAGATTTTTATCAATTCTCGCTCCCTGTAGCTGCCTCCTTTCCCCAGCCCCTGACCAGACTGGGCGGACTCGGGTCGGAAATGCCTGGGCCAGGAGTCAAGATAAACCCAGAACAGCTCCTCCTTGCTGAGAGCCCACCAGGGGCCTGGTACCACTGGATTCATCTGAGCTGCACAACCACCTCAGGCAATAGCTCTATAATCAGCCCATTTTATAGATTGAGTCATTCAACTGATGTTTATTGAGCATCTACTATGTGCCAGGTAATATTCTAAGTGCTGGGGATATATTGGTGAACCAGACAAATGTCTCTGCCTTGCGGAGCTGACAGGTACAGAAATGGTGTTTCGGAGAGGCTGATTGACCAGTTGTGGTCACTGTTGGTTTGCTGTGTGGCCTTGGGCAAACTACACCCCCTCTCTGGATCTGTCTCCTACTCCTGGTCCAGACGCTAATCTCTCAGGGCCTTTCAGGTTCACTGGAGACCTCCCCTTTTTCCTTCCTTAGTACAAAGCTTCATGGAGTCTGGCTACTCCTATGGCCCAGCCTAGTCTGAGGGGTTCAGGTGGCCCCCACCTGGGGCAAAAGGGGGCTTCTTGAGAAGCCCCAGCAGCTTATCCGTTAGGGAACCCCGGGGCCCATGGCCCAGCTCTCTCCCTGAGAAGGCTGAGGGTCTGCCTGGGCCTGGGGCTGCCTGCTGGGCACCTGTCTCCGCCACGGGCAGCAGGGCTCATTCCTTCTCAATTACCACCCCCAGGTGTACCCTTGGTGTCCTCAGGTCACCTGGGCAGCAGGGCCTGGGGTGGAGCCTGTGCCAGCGCATCCTACTTGAAAGGCAGCAGGGGGCCTTCTCCCCTGACCCAGAAGGAGGCTCTGAGAAAAGAGGGGCCTGGTGGAGCTGGGAGAAGCCCCTCTCAGTGGGAGAGGGGCCACCCCCACCAGCTTGTGTCTCTACCAGCAGCTCCTGGTCCCGGCTGTCACCTAACCAGGGCCAGTGCACCCTTCCCCCACTGGTCCCTGCCTCACCCGCAGCCTTTACCCATCCAGCTGTGCCCACAGCCTCTGAAAATGCAAGTCAGACCACTGGCCTGTCCATGGGCACCGCCACTTCCTCACACGGCCCAGGGCCCTCCCTCCTGGCCCTGGTCCCGCCCCACCTCCAGCTGCTCCCCTCCCCCCGCAGCCTACCCCACTCCTTCTCCCTGACCTCTTTCCGGCTCCTCCTGCAGGCCAGCGCCCTCTGCCTTTGCACGGGCTGTTCCCTGTGCTGGAACTCTTCCCGGAGAGCCCACGGTGGCCCCCTCCCCTCCTTCAAATCTTTGCTCAGATCCCATCTTCTCAGCAAGGCCAGCCCCAGCCCGTTTCGGGTTGTAACGGCCCCCACGACACACTCATCCCCTGCCTGCCTCGCTCCCGTTGTCCCTACCGTGGCCTGGCCTGGCATCCGGTGCTCGGTGCTCATCCTCTGTGCTTTCTTCCCGCCTGTCTCCCCGGCTGGCCAGGCCAGGGGCTCTGTCTTCCCCACTCAGTACGCCCAGGGCCTGACTCGCAGTAAACGTTTGTTGAATGAACGAGGAGCCTGGAATCCCCGGGTCTCATCCGGCTCTGCCTACAGCTCCCGGCGTGTGACTTCAGACACCCTTCCCTTTCTGGGCCCCCTGAGCCCATCTGGCAAATTGACCTAACCTGCCCCTCCAGGCCAAGGCCATGTGTGAGGAGGCATCACCTGCTCTTGGCCTGCTGTCCCTTCTCACGCACACATTTATTCATTCAACAAACCTCCCAATGCGTCAGCACTTAAGACGTAGCGTGCCTAACTCAGATACACATTCCTCTATTCACGTGTGTGCAGGTTCGCTGCCTGGCAGCCCAGCGGGGCGAGCTTTGAAAGGGCAGGGGCTCTGGCTGTCCCAGCCTTGTAGCATGTGTCCGTGGAAGTAATGAAATAAAAGAACAAGGTAATTCAGGAGTGACAAGTGCTGTGTAGTGAAACAGCACGATTTGCTAGGAAGAGGTGTGGGTGTTCTTTAAGTTGAGGGAGTCAGGGAAGGCGGGGCTCTTTGAGGAAGTGAGAACTAAGACCCTAATGAAAAGAGGGCCAGCCATGCAGCCCTGCTGTGACAGAATTGGTGGCAGTGCTGGCAGGTGCGGAGGCCTGAGTAGGGTCAAGTCTGGCCTAATCGTGGACCAGAAGGAAGGCCTGGAAGGTTGGGAGAGTTGCAGGCAAGGGTAGACTTCTGGAAATATTCCAGGCTTGCTGAGGGACTGGAGTGTAAGCTGACTGTTCCAGAACCTTCCTTAAATCAGGGCTGCGTTTCTTCCCTGGGCCCTAGGGAAAGGCCTCGTTTGGGATCTTTAACATAAGCCAGGAGGCGTGGTTGAGAACACCAAGAGCCATAGTGTCGCCGAAGGCTCCACGACTTTCTGTCCAGAGCAGTCTTAGCCATAGCTGGATCTGATCCGTGGGGGTGTCCGCCCCTTTCTGACCTCCCTTGGGGCAGAAATTACTGGCAGCAGGGAGGGCGGCTGGAAATACAGTTTGTCAACCTGAGTCTGAGTCCGTGGGCAGATCACCCCTTGTTCCTTGTGGCAATGTTAACACTGACCTGGCACAAGTCCTGGACAGAGATTTCCCACAAACGCTTGTACACATTCCATGTTTCTTTTGTGTAATCAGAGGTGACTTGATTCATAGTTACAGTTGGTCTGTATCATCTTTTTTTCCGAGAGAGAAAAGAAATCATGATGTATATGATCATCACTGGGGAGCCTATGCCCCATAATGAGAGCTGGGTCAAGGGTCTTCAAAGACTCTTAGAGTTTGGGCTTAAGGAGGGTGGTCTACTGCCCTCGACGGAGACGGGGATGGGGGAAGCGGGAGAGAAAAACGAAGAGATCTGCTTTGCGCCGGTAATACTCGAGAGGCCTGTTCCCCGTGCATATGGACGAGCGGTCTGGCGTGGGGGCTGGATGGAGAGTCCAGGCCCAAGCTGGAGAGATGAGCAGCCCCAGGGAAACAGTTGGCCGTGGACCCCGGGAAGCAGATGACCTCACAGGGACAGAATCCCATAGAGAGGAGGAGGCCCTGGGGCACATTAACGCTGCGTGGTCGGTGGGGGCTGAGGGCCCAGCAAGCGAAGCTGAGAGGGCCTGGCGGGTGCTAGAGGTGGAGGTCACGTGTACGTGTCCAGGACGTCACAGGAGCGGGCGTCTAGGAGAGGGGCCAGGGTACCTGCCAGTGGGTAGTCAGGTCGGATGAGGATGGAGGAAACCACTGGGCTTGGAAGGTGCAAGTGATGGTGCTGGACACAGCGCGGAGGTTGGGATGGCGGATCAGGATGGCGCAGCAGTTCGGGGAAGCCCAGGCCTCCCGTCCCTGGGAAGACACGTTCACCGGGCCAAAGCTTGCTCTTCTGTTGACTCATGAGAGGCCGCAGAGAGGCCAATGGACAATGATGATGCCCATTTGCCACAGGAGGAAACTGAGGCTCAGGAGGGTAAAGAACTTGCTGGCGCCCTCGCAGTGAGTTACAGGGTGAGGGTGGTGTGTAGAGGCTTGGTCTAGGAACGTTTTCCTGTGGCTGTTGCTGTGGTCCAGCCTAGAATTCAGTGGACTAGAGCCAGCAGGGGTCTGGAGGTCAGAGGTCTCGCCTGAGACCCCTCCTCTGCCCTCTAGGCGGTGTCCCCACACAGCAGAAATGATTCCCTGCCTGATCCGTGCTTGGGGGGCCTGGACACCCCCAGAGAGCAGTGGGTCCCCCGGTGGCTGGTCCTCCCAGGCCCAAGGAAGAGGGACCCTAAAGTATGAGGGCTCCCACACCCAGGGGCGTGCCGGGCACCAGGTCCATGCTCAGGGCTCTGCAAGCATGTTTCAGGTCTTCCCTACCAGCCCAGCATGACGGTCACTACCCCCACTTCATGGATGGGCTTGGGAATGCACAGAGACAACAAGTGAGACTGCGGCACAGGTTGGGGCCGTGGGACTCACCCCCACGTCCTCCTTATATGGGAACCAGGGCAGCTCCCTGGCCATGCCCCAGCTCGCTGGCAAAGTGGGCTCCTGAGACCCCAGCAGTGAGGGGTTCAGGGAAGGGCAGCGGCCAGTCCGTGCAGTGGGAGAGGGGAGGCAGATGGACAGGCGGCCAACGGCAGGAGGGGTGTGGGTGCAGCACAGCTGGAGTCAGAAGCAGGTTTTGTGTCAGATAGACCTAGGCTCAAACCATGGCTCTGCCTTCTCGTGGAGTGATCTCGGCCCTCTCTGCCTCGGTTTCCCCATCTGTATGAGGCGCACGATGCTAACAACTGCCCTGTAGGTCATTACGAGAACTGGAGGAGGGAACGTGTATGTTGTGCGCGCCACAGTGCTTGGGACAGAGCAATCATTCCATAAATGGCAGCTGCTATCCACTATTATTAGTTATTATTATTCCTTTTTTTATTTCTTCTTTTCTGTGGTGGTGGTTTTTTTTTTTTGTTTTTTCTGCTCGTCATTTTCGTGGTTTTCCCCGGTGAGGGTGCCCACCTTTCTTCTTACCTCCAGGCCGGACGCCCTCCCACCCCGCCCCCCAGTGGCCAGCGTGTCTGCCCTGTGTGCTGGGGTCCTGAGCGCAGAGGCTGAAATACTGATAACAATGGTGACATCTATTGAGTGCCTGCTCGGGCCAGGGGTTCTGGCAGGAGGCCGAGGGCACCACTGTCCCCGGCTGCTCGGAACTCCTCAGGCTGGCTGGGCACCCCTGGGTCATGGATCCCTGCCAAACGGGGGGGTGCTGGGAGGGCAGAGCTTGCCGCAGGTCTGCCCACCCGCCATTGTGCACACTGCTTTGGGGCCCTGCCGGGAGAACCCGGTGGGCCCCCTCCAGCCTCCAATCTCCAGGACCCCAGCACTGGCTGTGCCTTGGTTACGGGGTGAATAATTCAGGCCGCTGAGTGTCGGTCATGAAATATTAAACAGCCTGTTCCTGACGCACCAGCATGTGGGTGCATGTGGCGGCAACGCTGGCACTAGGGTGTGGAGGCTGGTGGCCGCCAGCCAGTATGTTTCTGAGGAGAAGTGTGGGGCTGGTCTTCAGCCTCCCTCATGCTATGTCGGCAGGGACCCTGCTGCTCTTGACACGGCAAGGTGAGGAAGGACAGCCAGCATGGCCTGCTCCCCCACACTGGTGAAGGGCCAGGCGGAGCATCAGCCCAGCAGATGGCAGCCCTGTGTCTGGGGGGAGGGTTGCAAGGAGGAAGGAGAGATCAGGGGGCTAGGGGTCAGGGAAGTGGACAGAGAACCAGGGTTTTAGGGACAGGGAGATGTCAGCTGGGAGGCTTCCAGGGTGCATGTGTATGGGGGGAGGGCATACATGGTGGGGTTGGGGAGGAGGGCTAAGTCACGTCCAGGTCCAGGGTGGTCAAATGGCCGATGATGGGGGTGGCTTGGTGCACGTGCAGATGGACAGACAGGTGGCAATTGGATGAGTGAGTGGTTGATGGGGTCCGGAGCATGTGATTGATATGGTGGGTGGATAGGTGGGGGAGGACGTGAAGTCCCCCAATTGCAGGCTTCAGAGGCACAGAGGGCTGATCAGAGCAGCCCCCCAACCAGGAGCTTCTCCTGGGTCTGGGGGTAGTTTGTGGCTCCACCTAGTGCCCTGCTGCGGCAACTGCACCCTGAGCTGTCCACACCTGGCAGCCCGATAGCCAGGCCAGCCTCCGTGTTCCCCAGCTGGGTCCCCTCTGGGCTAGAGGAACAAGGATGAGGGGCAGTGACAGCCAAAAGCTAGGTCCTAGGAGAAGCCCCTGGGGCACACTCCATCTCTTCACTCCCTGCATCCTACTGCCAGCCAGGCCCTGCTTCAGACAGCTGTGCCTTCGGATGCCACTTACCAGCTGTGTTACTTCTGGCAAGACAGGGCTCAAGCCTCCACTGACCCTCCCAAAATGGGAATGACAATAAGACTTAAGAAGAACCTGCTTGCTGGTACCATAGCCCAGAGCTGGCATGCCGGAAGCGCTAGGTGTGTGGTGCACATTCTGTAGGGTTGCCGGATTGATGAGAACACCAACAACAGCAAAACCCAGCATGTCCAGTTAGCTTTGAACTTCAGATAAACAATGTTTTAGTACAAGTAGGTACCATGCAGCATTTGGCATATACTAAAACGTTATTTGTTGTTTATCTGCAATTCAGATTTAACTGGGCATCCTGTATTTCATCCGGCAACCCTCCCACCCTGCCCTCTGGGAACCCAGTCTTCCGGGGGTGGCAAAGGCTCCAACCAGTTAAGGTCCATCAGGATGACCGGCCCTCCGTGGAGAGGGCCAGGGCTGCATGGGGCACGGAGGCGGGCAGGTAGCGGGGAGATCAGCACAGGCCCGGTGGGGGAGGGATCCTCCTGAGTCTTAAAGAGGGAGGTGGATAGAAGAGCAGCCCAGATGGAGGGAGGACACGTCCAGAAGCATAGAGGTGAGACAAGCAAGTTTGGGGGCTCCCGGTGACAGCGACTGAGCCTGGCTGAGAAAGTAGGGAGAGGCCAAGTCTCCACGTCCTTGCAGACCTGGGTGAAAAGGCCAACTGTCTGCTGAGGGCAGGGAAATGCTCAGGCGTGCATCATAGACAGGAGGCCCCGTCCAACGCACTCTTCCAGCCCTCCAGGGCTCCCGGAAAGGGGGCGAGGAGCACGAGCAGGCTCCAGAGGGGGGTAGGCGCTGAGAGCCCACGGTGGGTGCCGTGCTGCGTCTCCGCAGGGGAGTGAATGCCCAAACCAAGAACGGTGCCACGCCCCTGTACCTGGCGTGCCAAGAGGGCCACCTGGAGGTGACGCAGTACCTGGTGCAAGAGTGCGGCGCGGACCCGCACGCGCGCGCCCACGACGGCATGACCCCGCTGCACGCCGCGGCGCAAATGGGCCACAGCTCAGTCATCGTGTGGCTGGTGAGCTCGGGGCCCGGGCGGGGCGGGGCCCGGCGGGGGCGGGGCTGGCGTGGGACGGGGGTGGGGCCGGGAGGGCCCCGGCGCCCAGCCCCCGCCCCTCTTTCCGTGCCCCCTCCCGACAGGTGAGCTGCACCGACGTGAGCCTGTCGGAGCAGGACAAAGACGGCGCCACGGCTATGCACTTCGCGGCGAGCCGCGGCCACACCAAAGTGCTCAGCTGGCTGCTGCTGCACGGCGGCGAGATCTCGGCAGACTTGTGGGGCGGGACCCCGCTGCACGACGCCGCGGAGAACGGGGAGCTGGAGGTCAGGGCAGGGCCGGGAGGGACGCGCGCGGGCGCCCTCTGTGGTCGCCACGCTCTCGGCACAGCCTGCCCGGGCGCGGGGGTCCCGGCTCGCAGCCGCGTCGCGGTGCTCACTGCGTGCCCCCGCAGTGCTGCCAGATCCTGGTAGTCAACGGCGCGGAGCTGGACGTCCGCGACCGCGACGGGTACACGGCCGCCGACCTGTCGGACTTCAACGGCCACAGCCACTGCACCCGCTACCTGCGCACCGTGGAGAACCTGGTAAGGCCTGCACTGCTCCCGCCACGGTCCCTTCTCGCCCCCTCCCCCAGCCGTAGGTGTTGTCACCTCTTTTACCAAGGAGGAAGCTGAGGTTAAGGGACGTGAAGCCCCTTGCCCAAGGTCCTTGATCACTACCCCACACGACCTCTCGGCTCAGAGCCACTGCCCACTGAGGAGTGAGGGAGTAGAGGCCAAAAATTCAAAGGAGGGAGGAGGGAAGGCAAGGGTCACTCTAAGAGCGAGGGCTGGTGCCACTGGGAGCGGCCAGATGCGTGCACCCACCCACGTGCATGAGCTCAACAGCCAGCCTCTGAGGGATGGAATGTTAGTGTCCCATTCCACAGATGGGTAAACTGAGTCTCTGAGACACCAAGGTCACACAGCCAGTAAGTGGTAGAGCCGGGGTCTGCTAAGGATGGCCCGGCCACCTCTCCCATCTGCTGCACTGTACATTTACCCACTTCATAGCTACTTTGTCACTGGAAACCTGTTACTCTTTTAAAATTATTTTATTATGGTTAGATGGGCATGAAGTGACCCACTGGGACTTGGGCTCAGGTGTGGGTGTCTCCAAGTCCAGGGCTCTGCCCCATCTGCTACAATGTCTGCTTTGGGGCAGTGGGGAGGACAGAGGGTGGGCCTCACAGGTACGTTCGGCAGCATACTGACCAGCTCCAGGGGACAGCCTGGCCATGAGAGGGGCTGCAAAATTAGGCCTGGAGGAGAGAAGGCAGATGGCCCCTGCTCTGAGCACTGCCCGTCTGCCAGCACATGGGATGACCCTGATTCTGGGGACTGCAGAACGCAGCAAGGCCCAGGGGTCAGAGACTGCAGGTGGACCCCAGGATGAACTTCCCCCAAGAAAGGCCTCCCAAAGAGAGTGGGTGGCCCAGCAAGTAGTAAGCACCCTGTCTCTGGGGTATACAAGCAGAAGTGGACACTGGGAAGGGCGTTTTGTATCAGAGGTGGGGTCCTTCCAGCTGAGAGAGTCTGTGACTCTGCTGTGGGGCTGTGTGTGTGGCGGGGGGGCTGTCACCAGCACCCAGGACCCTCCTGGGAGCCTCCCTGGCTACAGCTGATGGCAGTCGTACAACAAGCACCATCCATCGAATTCTGCCTCTGGCAGGTACCCTGCTGAGTGCCTTACAGGTATAAT